TTTTCCAACGCCACTTGCTGCCATACACCCCCACACCATTATTCCGCTTCCTCCTTGCTTTACTGTGCCAACCAAATTTTCTTAATTTGAGGCTTCTCCGCTTTTCCTCCATACCAAAACCTTTCCCTTGATTCCAAATATGCAGAATTTAGTTTCGTCGGGAAATATAATCTTATTCCAGAAGTCTTGGTGTTTGGAAATATACTCATTACTAAAGGTTAGGCGCTTATGTCTATTGACTTCCGATATGAGAGGTTTTTTGCGGGCGACTCTGCTATGGTAGTCAGCCTTTTTTATGGTCCGGCGTACAGTATCTTCGGAAACTCTTTTGGAAAATCTATCCTCGACCTTCAGCTTTGCCTGGTGAGCTGTCGTCCTTGGGTTGAGCTGAATAGATTTGATAATATTCCTCTGCTCGCGGATTATAAGCAAAGGCGGACGGCCAGAACGAGCCTTTGGCAAGATACTTCCAGCCGAGTTGTAGTTATCTATCACTTTTGGATGGATGAGTGGGTTCTACCAACTAAAGCACCAATTTCTCTATAAGATTTTCCATCCAAAAAACCTTTTAATATAATTTTCCACTCCTCAACAGAAATTTCCTTGCCTTTTTGTTCCATGTTGCAATATGCTCGTTATTATAATGAAAAAGTTTCATTTTAACTGCGTAATGTCTATTTTTAGGCATTCTAAAGTAGATCGGCGACAACAAAATTAACGGAAATCGCACAATCCTGCATTCCTCGAAGTTGAAAACTGCTGTACGCAGACTTTTGCGCGTACACTTTTTCGTAGTGTTAGGTTTAAAATTAAAAATAAAATATAACCCCCTGTTGAATATTTCTAATATTTCTACGTCAATGAAGACAATAAACCATAGTTTTGTTTAAAAAAAGAATGAATAAAATACATGCATAAATGGCCGAACAATTAATGTTCAAAGTTAGATTTTGAAATTTTTTTGGGGTGTACGCAGAGATATGCGAGTGAGTGTAAGGACCACTAGATATGCTGGAAGCTTCGGTTCGTCTGTGCGTGCTTTTGTCTTTTGGAAATTTTAAACTGAAAATGTATTATTAAAAAATATATTTTAATAAATTATGCATCCAAAGCAATGTACTTTATTCTGTAAAAAAATTGCCTGTAGTGGTGGTCATGTATGTTTTGACATTGAATATATTTGGTGTTTGAAAAACATTTACTTTCATAATAGTATGTTGGATACTGTGATACAATTTGTTGCCCATTTTTCTTTTACAGGTTTGGCAGTATGAGTTCGTACAGAAAAGATTTGCCGTTCGAAAAATAAATGTCACATCAAATAAACAAATTGTGTTTCTAAACAATTTTGCTTTATGTTAGCTTTCTTTCACATATTTAGGAAACTTATACCATTGAGAAATCGACTATTAAAATTTTTCGACCCAATCGGTTTTATATTTAAAGATCGGATTTATATTTAAGGAAAAAATTATAGTATTTTTTAAGTTTTATTTAAAATATTTCTTAAAATATATTTTATTTGTGTATAGGCGTTATTGAATGGAAGCCAAGGGTTATTTGTTAAGCTATCAAACTGAAAATTAAAAGTTTTTGTAAGAGGTAACTCAGGCCTCTGGCTATAACTGGAGTTGTTGATAATATATCAATCGATATTTTTTCCTAAAAATTATATATTTATATCGTGATTTTTTATTTGCCCAAATATCGGAATTCCGACATTTTTTTTTGATATTTTTGTCTGAATTCCAAAGCGACATCGAGTGAAAGAATTCAGGCGCGAAATAAAAAATTGAGTGTAAAATCAAACTATACGGATATAAAAAACGGCGTCCGCCATCAAATGTGTTGTGTGCGACTCAAGAAGCATACTATTGTTTTTAAAAAGAAACTTATTGTCTTTTTATTGTGGGTGGTCAATTTTTTCATTTAACACAAAAAATATCAAATATATCAAATATATCGACATTTTTATGTGATATTTTATATTATAATTTATTTTTTTTATAAAAAAAATATCATCGATACTATATTTTTAAAATTTTCGACAACCCTAGCCGTAACATAATAATATATAAATTCGTTAAAAATAATAAAACTAAATAAACAGGCAAAACGATGTATCTCCGATTTCAAGACAATTACAGACTAAATAAAAAACAAGTTCCCAAAAGTTTGCAACACAGTGGAGGAAACCCTATAAAGTATTTGTATTATTGATTAGGATTACCAGGAGAGTCAATCTTGCCATGTCCGTCTGTCCGTCCGTCTGTCCGTCCGTGAGTCTGTCCGTCCATGAGTCTGTCCGTCCGTGAGTCTGTCCGTCCGTGAGTCCGTCCGTCTGTCCGTCCGTCCGTCTGACCGTCCGTCCGTCCATTTCTACCCAAACTAGTCCTTTAGTTTTAAAGCTATTTGCTGGAAACTTTCCCAAAAGTTGTTTTTCTATTGAAGGTAGTATATAAGTCGGGGATTTGATAATATTTTAATACTATGGAATTGCGGTTTTAATTAAATTAAAATCGGACATCTATATCACATAGCTCCCATAAGAAAATCGAATTTTTTTTATATTTGTTGTTGAACACGCCACACTAGGATGGACCTTGTTTTTGTGTATTGTCAAATTATTATTTTTATATTTATATTTCTAAAGATCCCAAAAAAAGCGGGTAGCGGGCAAATCAGAAAATCGAAAAATAAAAAAAACAACATGGAAAAAATGTTAATTTGCTGTTTTTCTCCTTATCAAAATATTTCTTTAAGATAAGGTAATTATTTAATATATCAAAATTACGCTTGTAGTTTTGTCAAAATCGGACAACAATATCATATAGCTGCCATGAACAGCGGGAAATGAACATTGTTGGCTTCACTGTTTTTAGTAATATAGGCATAGAAATCGAAATAGTCGGCTTGTATTAACTGCGAGGGTATATAAACTTCGGCTTGCCAAAGTTTTCTTGTTAAAACTAATGTAATTTACAAATATAAGGCAAAACAGCTTAAAGTTATATTTTTTCATTAGAAAATACAAAAAAATAAAATGAAAAAAAATAATAAATCCACCTTTAACAAGGACGGAAGCTAACTTCGGCAAGCCGAAGTTTTAATACCCTTGCAGACTTTGCCGAAATTGCTAAAACTGAAAAAGTAGCGAAAGGAATAAGGTATACATAAATAAACTAGATTTGCATCGTTTAATGTCAATTGCTTTTATACTGCAAAAATGTCATATAAAAATGGAAAAAAAGGGATACTTTCGCAGCCTTTAACTATTTTTCCTACGTAAGCTATAAGAAATAGACGTCCGATCGGCAAGCGCTTTTACCCTAATCAAAATATGCGTAAATAAATAAGACTTGGAAAAATGTATGTCAGTAGCTTACACACTACGCGAAAAATTCAGAAAACCAACAGATTTGGACCGATTTCACCCTGTGGTTCCTATGGGAGCTGTAGGATATAGACGTCCGATCGTCACGTACTTTTACCCTAATCAAGGTATGCATAAAAAATACGATTTGGAAAGATTCATGTCAATTGCTTATATACTGTGCGAAATATCCTAAAAATCATTAAATTTTAACCGATTTCACCGTATTGTTCCTATGGGAGCTATAGGATATAGACGTCCGATCGCCAAGCGCTTTTACCCTGATCAAGGTATGCATAAAAAAATAAGATTTGGAAAGATTTATGTTAATAGCTTTTACACTGCGCGAAATATCTTCCATTCTTGAAAGTTATATCCGATTGTTCCTATGGGAGCTATAGGATATAGACGTCCGATCAGCACGCGCTTTTATCTTGATGAAGGAATGCATAAAAAAAATACGATTTGAAAAAATTTATAGCAATAGCTTTTACACAGCGCGAAATATTCTGAAAAACATAAAATTTGGACCGATTTTACCCAATTGTTCCTATGGGAGCTATAGGATATAGACGTCCGATCGCCACGCGCTTTTACCCTGATCAAGATATGCATAAAAAAATACAATTTGGAATGATTCATGTCAATAGATTTTACACTGCGCGAAATATCATCAATTCTTGCAAGATATATCCGATTGTTCCTATGGGAGCCATAGGATATAGACGTCCGATCGGGGCGATTTTCAAACTTGATCTGCGTACACATGTTTTAGGACGAGTGTGAAAGTTTCAGATCGCTAGCTTTTAAACTGAGCTCGCAAACGGTATTGAAACAGACGGACAAACGGACAGACGGACAGACGGACATGGCTATATCGACTCCCCTATTGATCCTGATCAAGAATATATATACTTTATAGGGTCGGAAACGTCTCCTTCACTGCGTTACAAACTTCTGACCAAAATTATAATACCCTCTGCAAGGGTATAAAAATAGCGTATGGCCGTACGTCTTTAATAATCTTTTTTTTTAAATAGACTTTATTTTAATAAAAACTCTGAGAAGTGCATTTTCAACGTTTTATAAATTGGCCGAAGTTAAAAATATCTTTGGTTTTAAAAGATTCCGTGTTATTACGTAACTGTAAGGACGTTTTGTCATGTTATGATATGAACATTATCAAATTAACATAGACCTTTATAAAATGGTGAATGGTCTCGAATTCATAAATGGAATCAGATATGAAACAAATAGTAACGTCAATATCAGCCGCAATAGGCAATTGGACATGGTAAAGCGATTTGTTAAGTTGACTGTGAACGTTACATTCGATTTAACTCGTCACTCTTTGCCCCATAGCCGACTGCGGCGGAGCCTCAGCGGCCATGCTGACCCACTTTCACAGTTCGTCAGCCCTTCTCAATGCCGGTTGGTGGTGGGTTTCCTTTTGCCCGGGAAGCAGTTCCGCTCTCTTTACCTAAGACGACATGCGCTGGTCATCCTCACAGAGAGTCGATTTCCAGTACCAAACCTCTCTCGCTGAGTGAATTTCCCTGCCGACACCTCGTTGTCCGAAGCTGCTCGGCCGAGTCCTGGCGGAGGCTGCAGCAGTTCCGCGCAGATATCCGACCGATGTGGACGTGCAGTGCTCGAATCACAGAGACTTACTCTAGCTCGCAATTGCGTACCGCGTCCGAGGCGCTGTTCCCAGCCGAATCAAACGCGAACGGTCCGCTGGCACGTGCTTTTTTCATGCCGAGCTCAAGGTGTTTCTATAAGTGCGTGTGTGTTCCCCTTTTCGTTGAAAGGTAAAATATTGAAGTAAAGCCCCAAAATATATTTTTATAGTGCACAAGCCCTATCCCGCTTCCCTTTTATATAGTCAAAAATAATGAAAATATAAGAACGCAGAATTAAAAAATTAAAACCATTTTGTATAGAGCATTACTTTACCACACACAAACAAAATGCTTTCAAAAAGTTGCAGATTATTCCCTGGTGGTTGGCCCCTGCGCTATGTCCATACTTCGGCGACGTCCTTTGAGCCGCTTAATTTTAATTTGGACGCAGGTTCTGACAGCAACCAATCGCTGTGGTGGCACTCTCTCCCAAATAATGCATTGCACGGCTCTTCCGCCACCATTTTTTAGGCACTCCTGCAGATTTTGGTCGCCGTTCGTCAAGGACGGTGGGAAAACCAGATAAAAGTTGGCACGGATCGCACTATTAATCAAACTTGGAGTGATCTGTTGGTGCTTGTGCTCAGTCGCAGCGCAGGCCAAATTAGATAATTGAATAAGACGGAACGGCAAAGACACCCGAACTCCCGCAACAACAATGTATTTTCCATGGTATTCTCCTAAGAGAGGAATCAGTTTTTTCTACAAACTTTCTGTAGCACGATGTATTATTCAAAGTTTAGTGCCTTCATTCCATTTCTCAGTGCCGACTTTAATAGAAATGAGTGCATGTCCCAGTCCTACAGTGGGTACAATTTGAACAATTGCGGCTGCTCCCATCCCCGGAGGAGACTGTCATTTGCCTAATGCAAGCTGAAAGCTAGGGAGCAAATGACGAATGCCATAATAATTGCAAGCGAAGACATCCCTTGTTATTTGGGCCCCTCCCCGTAGGTTTCTGCTTGTTCTCTCAGTCTAATGCTCGCTTCAAGGGAATTTGGTAATCGTGACCGAAAATATGTCTCCCATCAGTGAAGAAAAAGTTCATTTTGGACGAAAATTGGTTTGCTAATTATAACTCGTGTTTCTGGCTTTTCCGTTTGACAGAGCTGGCAGTGAAGGATCGCAGCAAACGCACATAAGAGATTAGAGAAAAGCAAACAATTCTAGAAGTCCTGTTTAGTTTAAAGAGGCATCGGTTAAAAGCACAGAAAGTCAGCTTGCTTGTCACCAAAATTTCATTTGAAACTCCAGGCGTTTTGCGGATTAGCAAGGGGAGTGTGCCTATGGGTCTATCTGACTTTTCAAGACCTTTTGAGAAACGGTTAGCCCATATAAGTTGGGCATCGCAATAGTTACGAAAATCATCTGCACAAAAACAATTCGAGCGTAATTCGGGTGCATTCAAGTCGTCAGTGATTGCAACTCAAACTCATGTCGGAAAACCAAAAAGTGGTACATATTTCTTTTGATCGGTGAAAATAAAATAAATATATACACAAGCCATTTTGTGCGAAAAAAGCTAAAAAGAGTGGTTGTTGAGCTGATTGCCAATGGGTCTATCTGACTTTTCAAGACCTTTTGAGAAACGGTTAGCCCATATAAGTTGGGCATCGCAATAGTTAGGAAAATCATCTGCACAAAAACAATTCGAGCGTAATTCGGGTGCATTCAAGTCGTCAGTGATTGCAACTCAAACTCATGTCGGAAAACCAAAAAGTGGTACATATTTCTTTTGATCAGTGAAAATAAAATAAATATATACACAAGCAATTTTGTGCGAAAAAAGCTAAAAAGAGTGGTTGTTGAGCTGATTTAACCAGCCCATGAGTGTTGAGAGTGGATATCCCAAGAAAGACAGTAAGAGGGACTTGGACTGTAATGCGAGTGCCCAACGAAGCTGACGATTGCTTTCTCTGCTGCGCAGCCAGTGGATCTACTGACTATAACTTTCTCGCCTCTGCTAGAGAATGGATTACTCGAAGGCCAGGAGCCTGGTGCTGTCTTTGCTGTGCGTTATCAATGCTGCAACGGTGGATGGTGAAATCATTTTTCGTATCGATCCGTTGGGTAAGTTAAAAAGAACCTATTTCAAATAAGGAAAATTGAAAGGAAATCAACTTCGACAAGGCGAAGTTTATATACCCTTGCAGTTATTACAAAAGGACTACATTTCGATTTCTATGCCTAAATATGTCGATTTTGCGCTGCATTTTGCCAACTATATGATTTTGTTGTCCGATTTTAACAAAACTAAACGCGTACTTTCTGATATAGTAAATAATTACTACATCTTAAAGAAATATTTTGATAAATAGAAAAACAGAAAAAAATTGTATTTTTTTTTTTTTTTTTTTTTTTATTAATTTTTTGATTTTTCTATGGGAGATGTATAATATAGATCTCAGATTTTAATATAATTAAAAACGTAATTCCATAGTATTAAAACATTCCCAAGTCCCAAAGAAAAAAAATAAATTGAAAACAACAAAGTTAAACTTCTCTTTTTTTCCGATTGTTTCCATGGGAGCAATATAATATTGTCGCCCGATCCAGCTCGTTCCAATTTATATACTACCTGCAATAGAAAGACAACGAGCAAAGGAAGTAAAATAAAGTATAAATAGATAATACAGAGATTGTACAGATCGTACCATTATATCCTATAGCTTTCGTAGGAACGATTGCCTCCGTGCTTGCACTTAGATGAGAGAGCTATATTTCTGATTTAATAAATGTACGTATCATTAAATATTAGTGTTTGGTTAACTGATATTTTATGAAAAGTGGCAAAACTTCTTCAATTCTTATTTCGGAAATTTATTTATTTCCTTGCAAGTCAGACGTCCGTAAAAGAGATGCAGCATAATTATTTCGAATTGCAACCTCTGCAATGCGTCGTCCTTTCGTCCTATTTGAAACCTCGGTGATATCCTTTCTTGGGCATCCCCGATATACATTATAAGCTTTTGGTTGGGAACAGAATTTTATTATAATGATTTCATTGCACAAGCCAATCAGAATATCTTTTCAAAAATATTGATAGTTACCACTTAACGAATTGCCTAAACAATGCAAACTTCTTACAAAAATAAATAGTTGATTCCATTTCGTAATGCTTGTAAAGTCGGCTCATATTTCTTATTTATTATGTCCTTAATTAACGCATCTAGCTCATTTTTATTTCTTACGTAACGTTTTGCGAGAATACTCGCATTGGTAAACAATTAACTAACAAAATATAGAGCTTCTGAAATAAAAATGAGGTTATGTTGAATTTTGAAGAAACCATATTTAAAATCTTTAAATATTAATAAATAACAGGAGGTACATTTCATTTGGGGACAACCGGGGGAAAACACTTAAAAGTTTTCTTAAACATTGTAATGTACAAAATATACATACGTACTAAAACAGTCTCTCTCTTTAACAAAGATTAACACAAACGCAAATTATTTATATATTTATTTGTATAAATAAAGTACATACGACTATGTACAATATCCATTCCAATCGTTTTTGATTTGAGAGGGTTTTAAAATTTATCTTAATTTTTGAAATTCACTGCACTGCGGACAAATTGCAAATACATAAACACTTGTTCGCTCTTTTCATTCAATTTCTGGGAAGTCCCGTTATAAATGGAAACAAATTGTATGATGTAAAAAAGGTTGGACAATAAGCTGATCCAAAAACCGGCTTTCGCTGGAATCAAATTTTTATACCCGTTACTCGTAGAGTAAAAGGGTATATTGTATTCGTGCAAAAGTATGTAACAGGTAGAAGGAAGCGTTTCCGACTCTATAAAGTATATATATTCTTGTTCAGGATCACTAGCCGAGTCGATTTAGCCATGTCCGTCTGTCCGTCTCTCCGTCTGTCCGTCTGTCTGTCCGTATGAACGCTGAGATCTCGGAAACTATAAAATCTAGAAGATTGGCATTTTGCATGTAGATTTTAGGAGTTCCTACGCAGCGCAAGTTTGTTTCAAAATGGTGCCACGCCCCCTCTGACGCCCACAAGCCACAAGCTGTGGCCACAGTTTTGATGATATTATGAAAATTTTAATTGATATGTATTTGTTTCGTCAATAAATATCGATTGGCCTAATAAAAGTTTGCCACGCCCACTCTAACGCCCAAAAACCCATTAAACGCTTAAGCCTGGCTAGCGCCTACATTTCCGCCTTTCATGGCGCCATCTAACGGATGACTTTGGAACAGCTGGCCAGGGTGCTGAGTCAACGTTAATTCTCGATAATTTCTATTAAAGGAAATTGCGATGGTTTTCATTTCTCAATACCGAACTATATCCCAAGAACTATGCCAATCAAATCTAGTTAGCCAAATTGGAGGTCTGAGTCAAACAATGGCGTATGTATGTAAGCATATACATATGTATGTATTTACATTGTACACAGTTGCAATTGCCCGGCAAAGATAACTCCTTTCAAAGAAAGCTATTCGCTATACCCGTTACTCGTGTTGTGCAAACATTTAGACTTTAATGTACATAATACTATTTAAGAATGTATGTGTTTAGCCAATATAAGTATGTATGTTTAATATTTCTATTAATTTATTGCACTCAAAACATAAACATAAACACAGCTGCTGGTGCAGGACAAAAGCTGCCTGCGCTAAAGCAGCGCAGTGCTCGTGCTGTAAAGCTGCCGGCACTAAGAGATCGCCGAATTCAAATTGATAATTTGAACTTTTTGTCTTTATACCCGTTACTCGTAGAGTAAAAGGGTATATTGTATTCGTGCAAAAGTATGTAACAGCTAGAAGGAAGCGTTTCCGACCCTATAAAGTATATATATTCTTGATCAGGGTCACTAGCCGAGTCGATATAGCCATGTCCGTCTGTCCGTCTGTCCGTCTGTCCGTCTGTCCGTCTGTCCGTCTGTCCGTCTGTCCGTCTGTCTGTCCGTCTGTCTGTCTGTCTGTCTGTCCGTATGAACGCTGAGATCTCGGAAACTATAAAAGCTAGAAGATTGGCATTTTGCATGTAGATTTGGGGAGTTCCTACGCAGCGCAAGTTTGTTTCAAAATGGTGCCACGCCCCCTCTGACGCCCACAATCGCTTATATACGATTTTAAAAATTTAAATATTTCGGAAAAGTAAAAATGCAGTTGTATTGTGTTTATCAATACCTATCGAAATGTAGAATAAATTTTTCAAATCGGACCATTCGTTAAAAAGTTATGCGTGATCAAAGTTTCTATCTCCATCTCCCTCGCACTCCCTTTACCTGAGTAACGGGTATCTGATAGTCAGGGCACCCGACTATAGCGTTCTCTCTTGTTTTTTCCTGTGGTCACTACAATTCACATTATGTTAAAAAAAAAACAAAAAAAAACACAAGAAGGCATATTTATATAAAGTTGTTTAGCTGAGTAACGGGTATCTAATAGTCGAGGCCCTCGACTATAGCGTTCTCTCTTGTTTATTTTGGCCTATGGCATCGACCGCTGTGCAATGGTTATAAATGCTATTAAATATCAGCCAGCAAATTAGAAGGGGTGGCCGACCAAAGTTATTGGCCAAAAGGTCAGTGGATCGTTTAGAAAGACAGTCAAGAATGGAGCCTTTTGCATCTGATGCATCACAAAACAGAACTTGTAACTTATATGTACGTTTGGAAACAATGAGAAGCAAACCCGAAATAGTAACCTCATTTCAAGAAGTACCGTTAATGACAAAAAACATGCCGCCAAACGTTTACAATTAGCCAGACAGCACTAGAATTGTCCTTGGAAAAATGGATGAATATTTTGTGAATGACTCCAGAATAGTTTTGTTTGGAGGCCGTGGCTCCTGAAGTTTGTGTGACGACCACCCTCGAAAAATAACTTTTTTAAGGTAAAGTGGTTTTATAAGTTTGGAGCAGTATATTGGGTCGAAGCCATTATGAAAAAAAGCCATTATGAAAAATTCCAAGTTCCTAAGTTGCTATGAATTAATATTAACTAGTTAAGTTTCAATAAAAATTAAAAAATTCGGAAAAAAATTAATTAATTGGGGTTGCCAGAAAACTTCAGTAGGCACTAATATTATTTTGACCGCAGCAGGTATATCGATATTTGCAACTATTTTTTTTGCACTATATGACTTCAAACAAGAAAGGAAAGCTAACTAACCCTTGCAAAATATTCTGTAAATTATATTGGTTGGCCAAAAAATAAAACCAATAAAAAATCCCAACATCCTAGTCTTAAAAACACCAAAGTTATGGCATTTGCGATCGTTCAGTTATATGGCAGCTATAGGATATAGTCGGCCGATCCCTATGAAATTTGGTAGGTCGGATTGATTGGCCAAATATAAAACCCGTATAAAATCCAAACTTCTTAACTTTACAAACAGTACAACAATATCGGAATTGCGATATTTTTTTGATATTTTTTGATATTTTTGTCTTGGGTCGCTCTGAATTCCAAAGCGACATCGACTGAAAGAATTCAGGCGCGAAACAAAAAAATTGAGTGTAAAATCAATCTATACGGATATAAAAAACGACGTCCGCCATCAAATGTGTTGTGTGCTACTCAAGAAGCAGGATGACTGACGCACACATAACGCAAAGGGTGTTATTAAAATCCCAAAACCCTGCATACTGGTCATAAAATATATATAATAAAATACTATTGTTTTTAAAAAGAAACATTGTCTTTTTATTGCGGGCGGTCAATTTTTCATTTAACACAAAAATATCAAATATATCAAATATATCGACATTTTTATGTGATATTTTAAATATTATCATTTTTTTTTTTGATAAAAAACAACCCTATATAGGATATAGTCGGCCGATCCCGACCGTTGGGACTTATATACTGCGTGCAAAGGAACGAAGGGTGTGTGCAAAGTTTAAATTCGATATCTTAAAACTGAGAGACTAGTTCGCGTAGAAACAGACAGACGGACAGACGGACATGCTTATATCAACTCAGGAGGCGATCCTGATCAAGAATATAAATACCTTAAATGGTCGGAGATGTTTCCTTTACTGCGTTGCACACTTCTAACTAAAATTATAATACCCTCTGCAAGGATATAAAAATGTATGTTGTGCATACATTTGGCCTAAGAGCCTAGGTCAAAGTCTGATTCCAATATTTTGGTAAACATGTACAGAATGCTGAAAACATTTTGATTAATGGTCGCATTAAAAAGATAAAATCAAATACCAGTCTTTACAAATAGAAAAAATTGCCAAATTTGAAAGCATCAAGGAAAAGGAAAAATGAGGATATTTGCTAGATGCTGGCAGCATCTTCCGTTCCACTTATTCCTTCTCTGCACCATGTAAAGTCACGAGAAGGGTTAGAATCAAATGATTAGTCTATTAGATATTTTACGAATTGTGATAATTACTTACAGATACCAAAGTCGGGAAGAATTCTTTAAAAACCTTTATTGATAATAATATTTAAAGCTTCTGGAGCATCGATTTTAAAGGTCGATACAATACAAAAATAATTCGAAAAAGCGATCTATTAGACCATCTATGTGGTAAAAAACTTTTATTCAATTCAGTTAAAACATATAGAATCATACCTTTCCATAAAAGTTGTTCAGTTTTTAATTCACCATCTTAGTAATAATTTACAATCGTCTCATTAAGGTCTTATTTTAATCTTTTTGTCTAATTAGTATCCTTACCCGAGTCGATATAGAACATCTGACTGAGATTAAATAGCTTAAATGCAAATTCACAAATGTAAAGACGGTCAATGAAATAGCATTTAAAAACCAAAGGATCATATCAACCGCCCATGAGGTCTCTAGTAAATATCAAGATGTTTTTATCTGTGAAGTATTTGATAACACATGTAGGAAAAGCTTTAAGCTTTAAGCTTTTATATAAAGATAATGGTTTCCTCTGAAGCAGACGTATTGCGACTAGTCCTATGATCAAGAAAATGTCTTCTTCCTTTTTGAGCCACAAAAATAAAATTCATTAACAACAAATTTAGAGTTTTATTTTTTTTATTATTTGTAAGATTTATTTTAAAAATCACAAGATAATGAGTTTTATTTAGTTTTATTTTTATACCCTTGCAGAGGGTATTATAATTTTGGTCAAAAGTGTGCAACGCAGTAAAGGAGACATCTCCGACCCTATAAAGTATATATATTCTTGATCAGGATCACCTCTTGAGTTGATATAGCCATGTCCGTCTGTCCGTCTGTCTGTTTCTACGCAAACTAGTCTCTCAGTTTTAAAGATATCGAATTGAAACTTTGCACACACCCTTCTTTCCTTTGCACGCAGTATATAAGTCGGAACGGCCGGGATCGGCCGACTATATCCTATAGCTGCCATACAACTGATTGATCGCAAATGCTATAACTTTGGTGTTTGTAAAGTTAGGAAGTTGAGATTTTCTGAAGGTTTTATTTTTGGCCAATCAATCCGACCTACCAAATTTCATAAGGATCGGTCGACTATATCATATAGCTATTATACAACTGAACGATCGGAAATGCCATAACTTTGGTGTTTGTAAGGTTAGGAAGTTAAGATTTTCTATGGGTTTCAGTTTTAGCCAATCAATCCGACCTACCTAGTTTCATAAGGATCTATCCTATAGCTGCCATATAACTGAACGATTGAAAATGCCATAACTTTGGTGTTTTTAAAGTTAGGAAGTTCGGATTTTTTATGAGTATTAAGAATGTTTCATATGAATAATTTTGAAGAATATAATTTACAGAGTATTCTGCAAGGGTATATCAACTTCGGCTCCGCCCGAAGTTAGCTTTCCTTTCTTGTTTTGTTATAAAAGTGTGAGGTGTGGAGAAGGATTAAATTAAAAGTTAACTTAGTCCTTTCGTTATTGTCACTGCTAATCCGCTTGCCTTGGCCATCTCTGTTGGTCGCTTCTGGGGGATGCTCCATCTGATCGTGTATTCGGAGACGATCCTGAGAAGCTCGTTGGGACTCTCTCGGCCTATCCTTTAACAACATTTTTTTTTGTTTACACGAAAAAATAAGCTGTAATAAAAATAAACATTTTTATGATGTGTATAATATAGTCCTAGTTGCATTTCCATGCTTATAAACATTTTAAGTTAATATAATTATAAACTACAACAAGAAAGGAAAGCTAACTTCGGGCGGAGCCGAAGTTGAAATACCCTTGCAGAATATTCTGCAAATTATATTCTTTAAAACTATTCATATGATACATTCTTAATACTCATAAAAAATCCCACCTTCCTAACCTTAAAAACACCAAAGTTATGGCATTTCCAATCGTTCAGTTATATGGCAGTTACAGGATATAGTCGGCCGATCTATATGAAATTTGGTAGGTCGGATTAATTGGCCAAAAATAAAACCCATAGGAAATCCCAACTTTCTAACTTTACAAACACCAAAGTTATTTCATTTCCGATCAATCAGTTATATGGCAGCTATAGGATATAGTCGGCCGATCCTTATGAAATTTGATATGTCGGATTGATTGGGCAAAAATAAAACCCATAGAGAATCCCAACTTTCTAACTTAACAAACACCAAAGTTATGGCATTTCCGATCAATCAGTTATATAGCAGCTATAGGATATAGTCGGCCGATCCTTATGAAATTTGGTACGTCGGATTGATTGGCCAAATATAAAACCCATAGAAAGTCCCAACTTCCTAACTGCAGAGTTATGGCATTTCCGATCAATCAGTTATATGGCAGCTATAGGATATAGTCGGCCGATCCCGGCCGTTCCGACTATATACTGCGTGCAAAGGAAAGAAAGGTGTGTGCAAAGTTTCAATTCGATATCTTTAAAACTGAGAGACTAGTTCGCGTAGAAACAGACAGACGGACAGACAGACGGACAGACGGACATGGCTATATCAACTCAGGAGGTGATCCTGATCAAGAATATATATACTTTATAGGGTCGGTGATGTCTCCTTCACTGCGTTGCACACTTTTGACCAAAATTATAATACCCTCTCTCTATAAAAAAGTACTAAAGGTCTATGAGCAAATGTGGGATGTAACCTGAACTTATGATAAAAAAGAAAATAAAATTAAAAATGTATTTCTGTCAGAATTAGAGTAAATTAAATTTAAATTTACCAAAAAGTTACTCAATTTAAGTAGTTTTGGAATAATTTTGGGAATATTTTTAAAAACGTTTTAAGCTAAAAAATGTCATTTCATTCTTTTTTAAAACATTTTTAACTTATTTAATAATTTTAGAATTTTCTCAGCTGTGAGTTTCGGGTTTCTAGGAAAATGTTATGATATTGTAAAACAAAAACATAATTTGCCTCTTTTTTATCTTGCTTTTTGACTTAGCTTTGTTATCGGCCACTTTGCGCACATATCAGAAAGCGGCTTGTGATTCGGATCAGGTGGTTATTGCCTGCCCTCGTGGTACCAGCATTTCAATCGAGTTTGCCCAATACAACAAGTTCGTAGCGAAAGGTAAGTTAGAAAGCCACTTGATTCTCTTGATGCGAATTTGTTTCTACTTTGTGTGAATTCTTCGGTATCCTTCTCGCAGATGGCTACAGTATCGAAGAGCTATGTCCAGGGTCAGGGAATGCAGGACCTGTAATCCGGGGCAGGTCGAAGCATCTGCTCCGCGGGTCTATCTTTGGCTCTTCCTCACTGAAACTACCGTCGAGCAGATATATTAATGGCGGCTATGGCCTTGCAGTACCATTGCAAACTGTCGATGAATCTAACAGCACCATTGCAAGGGGCTCCGAATTGGTCTCCGGCACGACTGGCTCTGTTGACGACGTGCAAAGTTCGGATTACAACAGTGAAAACCCTTCTGAAAACTGCATGTGGCCAAATGCCTTACAGGTAATTAACTAGAAAGCATGAAAAGCTAATAATGTCTTAAAGATCGTGCTTTCAACCGCCATAACAGAATGTGGTTTTAAATATGTAATGAAATACTAAAATAGTTTGATACTGTCTTTTTAACATTTAAACAATGTTTTCACAAATTTTCAACGACAAAATAAAATAAATAAGCCGTTCACAGCCAAGCTCCGTAGGCACCTCCAATTGTATTGAATTTTTGGATTTTTGGTAACACTTTGAAGTCAAAAACGTGAATTTAGCCTGAAAATTCGATATATTAGTTGTTATAAAATTAACAAGAGAGAACGGTATAGTCGAGTGCCTCGACTATTAGATACCCGTTACTCAGCTAAACAACTTAATATAAATATGCCTTCTGGTGTGTTTTTCGCCGCTCGAATTAGCACCTTGGCCAGCTGTTCCAAAGTCATCCGTTAGATGGCGCCATGAAAGGCGGAAATGTAGCGCTAGCCAGGCTTAAGCGTTTAATGGGTTTTTGGGCGTTAGAGTGGGCGTGGCAAACTTTTATTAGGCCAGGTATTGACGAAACAAATACATATCAATTAAAATTTTCATAATAGCATCAATACTGTGGCCACAGCTTGTGGCTTGTGGGCGTCAGAGGGGGCGTGGCACCATTTGTAAACAAACTTGCGCTGCGTAGGAACTCCTAAAATATACATGCAAAATGCCAATCCTCTAGCTTTTATAGTTTCTGAGATCTCAGCGTTCATACGGACAGACAGACAGACGGACAGACGGACATGGCTAGATCGACTCGGCTAGTGATCCTGAACAAGAATTAATATACTTTATAGGGTCGGAAACGCTTCCTTCTACCTGTTACATACTTTTGCACGAATACAATATACCCTTTTACTCTACGAGTAACGGGTATAAAAATTTGATTCGAGCGAAAACCGGTTTTTGGATCAGCTTATTGTCCAACCTTTTTTACATCATACAATTTGTTTCCATTTATAACGGGACTTCCCAGAAATTGAATGAAAAGAGCGAACAAGTGTTTATGTATTTGCAATTTGTCCGCAGTGCAGTGAATTTCAAAAATTAAGATAAATTTTAAAACCCTCTCAAATCAAAAACGATTGGAATGGATATTGTACATAGTCGTATGTACTTTATTTATAGTTTCCGAGATCTCAGACAGACGGACAGACGGACATGGCTAGATCGACTCGGTTAGTGATCCTGAACAAGAATTAATATACTTTATAGGGTCGGAAACGCTTCCTTCTACCTGTTACATACTTTTGCATGAATACAATATACCCTTTTACTCTACGAGTAACGGGTATAAAAATGGCAATTACGTGTCGTTGCATCTGGGTCTGAAGTACAACTAATGCTTGTTTTTATTTTCCCTATTTTCAGTACTCCTTACTGCAAACTGTGGTCGAGGCCTGCCAGAAAAAGAAGCACTGCAAGTTCCACGGATCTCCACAGTTCTATGGACAGGGCGCCAGCGGTGTGGGCGACTCGTCGGGAACGAGCAGCTATCACAGCAGCACGGCTAGCTCCCATGCAATAAGCAGCGACCCATGCCCCAAGCGCAGGAAAATTGTCGAAGTCGCCTATAAATGCCGCCCATGTAAGTGACCCCTATATAACACAAATTTAGTCTCAACAACAACAACCATCACCTCAGCACCAATGGTAATGTTAACTGGGCTAACTCGGTTTCCATTCTTTTTTGGATAACTACAAAGCAGTCATGGGGGCACACAAGCGAAAAATGTAGTCAGGTGAAATGGGAACGAGTCGTTAGGAGGTATTGAGTTCTCTGTTAGCATGGCTAAAAGTCAGTTGCAATAGGAAAATTTTAAAGTCGTCTCTGGGACATTAAGGTGCTTTGCAAGCAACACAAAACATCGATAAAACAAAAATATCCTTACCATTGTCAAGCATCGGTCGCGATTAAAAGGCACAAGCCAACAAATTGAATTTAATAGCAAATATGCCGTTTGAAAGTATCCCGACCCAGTGATAACTATAATGAGCTTGGCGTCTGAGACCAGCCTCTTGTTGACTATTTAACTCGAACAATTAGATAATTTATTTATGTGAGCTTATTATTTAGTTCATACAATTTTGCTTATTAGGTATTGAGAGGTATTTGTAATTGTTGTTCCTAAAAAACGTTTTGTAAAAACTGTTTTTTGTAAAAACAATATGTAGTCTAAACATCCAGGTTTCAACTTTGTGCACTCTTATACCATTGCAGAGGGTAATTTTTCTATTGTACATACATTGGAATGGGCCGGATCGGACGCTTAGATCATATAGATCATATAGCTTCCATAGAAATAATCGGAAAATAAATGAAAATAAATTATAACCTCTGTGTTTTTACAGATATACTCTTAGAAATAGCAATTTTAATTTATCGGTTAACCGACCCAAGTTCGTTGGTTTTACACTTCGGCTTGCCGGCTTACCTTCTTAATATTCAAGTTAAAATTTCTGTTAAAGGCAAAAAACAAACGTGGAATAAAAAATATTACTGAAATTTTAGAAAATTTGCACTAAAATGAATGAGAAATTTTCGTAATATGATTTGTAGAAGCTTGTGCAAGCCAATTTTCAAACCAATAGGACAATTTCCATACCTATCTTAGGGGATATCTGCCCACCAAAAAGGTGGGTAACTTCAAGAACTACAAGAAAGGAAAGGTAACTTCGGGCGGAGCCAAAGTTGATATACCCTTGCAGAATATACTGTAAATTATATTGGTTGGCCAAAAATAAAAACTATAAAAAATCCCAACTTCCTAACTTTAAAAACACCAAAGTTATGGCATTTTTGATCGTTCAGTTATATGACAGCTATAGCTATGCTGAAATACTCGATGTTAAGAGGCCCATGTGCAGGCAAATATGTCTTTCTAGTTTATTGGTATTATATATTTTAATAGACAGTGAGCCAGTCTTATTAGCAAAATCGCTAACGTTGTCTCTTAACAGAGGTTAAACATGAAAGGAATGCCCAGGCAGCTGTTACATTTTGTTATTCTTTATTTCGATTTGTATTCTTATAGGGTTAAAATCAATAAAGCAGCTTTTCAGATAAATTCGTCGATCGCCCCTATGGCAGCTATACGATATAGTCGTCCTATTATCATACAATTAAAATGCCCAATAATATAGATGTAGGCCCAGAAAACGGGATTATTTTGACTAGTGAGTTCGATTGTCTTAGCTACGAAAAAAAGTGGGGTATTAAGAATGTGATTGCTAAGATTGCTACCAGAGAGTATAAAGAGCACATTAATATTTTAAGGTAAAAGAAACTTATGTTGGGGCAATAAAGGTAACTTATGGAATCCGGGCAATGACTTTCAACCTCCCGCTGAGTTTCTGAGACTTTTGGATATGTGCTCCTATTTTGGAGGTTATCATTTATCGATAAACGATCCCAGGAGGTCCCCAGAAAGACATAACATTCGTGTTTGGAATTGAAAAAAAACAAGAAAGGAAGCAAGCTTTGGCAAGCCGAAGTTTCTATACCCATGCAGTTTTTACAAAACGACTACATTTCGATTTCAATACCTTTATTATTAAAAACAATGAAGCTATGTTGATTTTGCGCTGCATTTTTCCATTGTTTCTATAGCAGCTAGATTTTAATTTACGTAAAACCGTGATTTAATAATATTTAAATATTACCAAAAACAAAAAAAAAATTAAAAACAAGAAAGGAAAGCTAACTTCGGGCGGAGCTGAAGTTGATATACCCTTGCAGAATATTCTGTAAATTATATTCTTCAAAATTATTCATATGATGCATTCTTAATACTCATAAAAAGTCCCAACTTCCTAACTTTAAAAACACCAAAGTTATGGCTTTTCCGATCGTTCAGTTATATGGCAGCTATATGATATAGTCGCCCGATCCGGCTCGTTCCTACTTATATACTACCTGCAATAGAAAGACAAATTATGGGAAAGTTTCAATCAGATAGCTTGAAAACTGAGGGACTAGTTTGCGTAGAAACGGACGGACGCACAGACGGACATGGCTAGATCGGATCTTCTGGTGATGCTGATCAATAATATATATACCTTATATGGTCGAAAATGTCTCCTTCACTGCGTTGCAAACTTTTGACTGAAATTATAATTCCCTCTGGAAGGGTATAACAACAAAGTTATAATATTTTTTAAAATATATTTTTTTTCGATTTTTCCTCTGAGAGCTATATGATATAGTCGCCCGATCCGGCGCGTTCCTTATTATATACTACCTGCAATAGAAAAACAACTTTTGCGAAAGTTTCAAGCAGATAGTTTGCAAAGTTTCCAAAGCCCCCGTGGTTCTCTCGTAGACTCTCTTTCCTAAAACATTCCATGGGTAGACTTTTTACGAAATTTTAGAGTTCAAGTTCACCATTCGATGTATCTAATAGCTCGTTCCAATTTCTTAGTCCGCAATATGTTACAATAGTTACCTAAACCATTGCAGAATAGAATTCCAAGACAACACCAAGCAGTTCTACGCATTTGGTAATTCGAAATGAAAATCGCAACAATTTCAATCTTGCCTTCACCTTGTGACGACATCTGCCTCTAGTGACGCCGATATTGCGAACTTATTTGCACAACTTTTCCAGTCCACGCATTTATCTTTCAGTTACAATAACACTTCATCCTACCCCTACCCTCTTCCCCACTCCAACTGTATTTTCACGCCCGTAATTAGTGAGGATGATGTTTTACAAAATCTGAAAACAATCAAGATGTCTTTTTCTTCGGGCCCTGATCTTGTACCGAGCTGTATTAAAAAAAATGTGCCAATGCTTTGTGCAAACCTTTATCTAAACTTTTTCAGATACTCCTCCTTCATTTGTATTTCCCTGAAGTTTGGAAGGAATCGTTTATCATTCCACTTTATAAAAAGGGAAGCAAATCGGACATTAAAAAACTACCGCGGTATTGCAAAACCTAGCGCGATCCCCAAGTTTTTTGAACAGCTTATTACCGCTCAGCTACTGCACCAATGGAGTAATGCCCCCAACTCAGCATGGTTTTATGAAACTAAGGTCAACGACTACAAATCTTCAGGAATTTACCTCAGTCATTAGAAGCGCTTTTAAAAATTACAATCAAACTGATGTTAGTTTTACGGACTTCAGTAAGGCTTTTGATTCCGTGAACCATCAGTTATTATTAAAAAAACTAACGTTACTAGGATTCCCGATCATGTTGACTAAGTGGATTTCAACATACCTTTCGAACCGGACTCAGAGAGTAGCTTTTAAAACCACAATCTCAAACTCTGTTCACGGGAACTCTGGTGTTCCGCAAGGGAGCCACCTAGGACCAATACTGTTTGGAATTTTCATAAATGACTTGCCTCAAGTAGTTCTCTCTTCTTGTGTTATGATGTATGCTGACGAAGTAAACTTTGTTTACCATTATCGAACCCCTCTCTTGCAAGCCGATCTGAACAACCTTCATTCTTGGTGCATCCAGAATTTGCTGTTTTTAAATAACTAATGAATGATCTTGAACGGATAAATTCCGTAACAGACCTTGGAGTGTTATTCAACCACAACTTAAACTTATCTGATCACATTGGCACTATTGTTAGTAAAGGTAAAGGGGTTTTTGCCTTTGTTAAACGTTGGTCTAAGGAATTTGAGGATCCCTATACCACGAAACACTTATATATTTCATTGGTTTGTCCAATTCTGGAATACTGCTCTTGTGTTTGGTCTCCTCAATATACCAATCATCAAGACCTTATCTAATCGGTACAGAAACCGTTCCTTTTGTTTGCTTTACGTGGCTTAAACTGGGAAACACATCGTCACCTACCATCTTACGTGGATAGACCGCGTCTACTGAAGCTGCCCTCCCTCAAGGATTGTCGAACCTGCCACGGTGTCATGTTCCTTCATAAATTAATAACTGGACTTGTAAATTCAAGCTACCTTCTGGGTCAAAAAATTAATTTAAAATAGTTAATTAAAATAGTTTAAAATTAAAATAGTCAAATAGTTAATTTAATTGTAACAAACATCCTAACTCACCTGTCCTTGTTCCCTCCCACTGTGAGTCGGGTACTATGTTTATGTTGGCAAATATTTGTTAACTTGAATGTAAATAAATGTTTTACATGTCGCTTATAAGAACCTAAAATACTAACCGTCATCTTCAGTCATCTATACATACTCTACAACCAAAGTAGTAGTATACTATTATATATGTTTCATGAACAATACTCTACCTTGTAATGATCATTAACAAAGCATTCCCATTTGGTGGCTCAACAGTGACAACCGACCGAGGAGCGCAGTCATGTATCGTACGGCACGATTCGCGAAAAGATAGACGCGAGATAAGAAAATAAAGGTAAAGGTGCCAATGAAGCAAGTATTAATCGTTTTAGGAGCGGTAGAGAGTCAAGATTTAAGATTACAGGAAAAAGTCTATTATAGTCAGAACATAATACTCTGAAAGGCTTATGCAAGGCATAGTTAGATCTACAATGATTTAAAATTAGGGGAATATAATTTCTAGTTAATCTACTTGGCACAGAAAAGTTTAGCCGACTTATCAAGTCGGGGCAGTCAATATCACCATGTATAA